TCGCAAGGGTTCTAAATGGACGTGGGGGACGTAAGATGAGATGAGGGAGCACTATCCGGAGTTATTTGGAGCAGCAGACTTCGAGGATGAAGTCTAGTTCAAATGGGGGAGAATTGTAACACTTGAGTTGGGTAAGTTTCATATCTAGCCTCTTTATCTTAAAATTTTGCAAAATTGGTCCTTAAGCTAGTACGCAGGGCGTACTAGGCGGTACGCTTAGCGTACTAGCCGGTCTTGAACGCGCATTTAGTCCACATAAGTTGGGCGTACGTGGAGTACGCATGGCATATGTGTGGATTATGAAACCCTAATTTCTAGGGTATTGCACCCTATTTAAGCCCTGTGATAGCCTCACTTGGTCATGTTTATGCATCCTCCACCTCCCCTGGTCCAGAAATCGAAACCCTAGTGAGTCTTGAGAGTTTTGAGCCATAAAGAGTGTTTGTTGGTGCTTTGTGAAGGAGAAGAAGAAGTGGACCATTTGGAGTTGTGATTGGAGCTTGAGGATTCGAGATTAGCTCATCATTTGCTAACCTTTTGAGGTAAAAAGCTCCTATCTTGCTAATATATGATGCTAGATCTAGTTGTGTGCCATTTTGTGCTTTTTGAATCCTTGGAGTAATTGTTGAGCCTCTTGATTCACTCTAGAAGTGATTGATGGTAGATCTAGGGTTCTTTTGGTCCCTTTGTCCATAAAAATGCAAGCTTTGAGGTGTTTATGGACTCATGCATGTGTTAAGACCCTTTGTTAAGCTCTTTTGAGCTCTAGAGCCCCATTAAGACATGCATGCACGTAAAGTTGCCAACTTTACGTGATAAGTCACCTTAAGGAACTCAGATTTGAGAGTTGGGTTGATGTCTTAACCAAATAAGAGCTTAATGAAGGAAGTGGGCATCTGAAGCGTACGTTAGGCGTACGAGCTGAGTACGCCCCGCGTACTTAGCAGTGGGCTTCAGAATTTTGGGCTTTTCGGGAATGGGCCCATGTTGGACCTTAGGAGTCTAGGGCTTTGTTGGGCCATCAGAAGTATATTTTGGGGCTGATGTTATTTTATTGGACTCTTTTGGTTGAAGGCCATGAAGGGATTTGGGCCCAATTTGGAAAATTGAGCCATATTTGGGCCTTAGGTGATCATTTTGGAATTTGGGCCTTTTTGGATAGTTGGCTTGGGCCTTGGCCTTGGGCCAAGTTTGGTAAAGGGTAAAAAGGTATTTTACCCTAGTTTGTACTCTTAGTGTGAGTCGGGCTCCAAATATTAATTGGATGTTATTTCATGTTGATAGCGCGGGGATTTTACTGGACCAGCAGCCAGAGATCTATTTGTGAGATTTAGCAGTCTGAGGTGAGTTTCCTCACTGTGTTTAGCAGGTCGAAGGCAACAATTTCGACCCATGATTATTATATTAGGATGCTAGATGTTTGCGTGACTCTTGCATGTGTTATGTGCCGGTATGTATATCGAGCGAGGCTCAAGGACTGTATTGTATGCTATTGTCTTTGTTATTATCGCATGTGTTAGCATGTTTATATGTTATATGTTTATTACGTGTACCGGGCGAAGCCCGATGTCAGGCGGGACCTGATGAATGATAGATCTGTAACCCGAACGGGGCTCGATGTCGGGCTGGGCCCGAGGCCGAGTGGGACTCGATGTCGGGTGAGGCCCGATGTGGGGCAGGGGCCCAGTATGTGTTTATTATGTATGGTAGGTGGTATTTTGGGGAACTCACTAAGCTTTGTGCTTACGGTTTTCAGTTTATGTTTCAGGTACTTTTGGTTCGAAAGGGAAGAGCCCGGGATGATTGCAGAGCACACACCACCTTATTCCTCATTTTTTGATTTACTCTGATGTGATATGATGTAGTGACATACTTTGGTTATCTTGGTTGTATGACAATGTTTTGAAATATCGTTTTATTTAAATTAAAAATGAAAGTTTTAGGTCTTATTTTTGGGACTTTACATATGCACTCACTTGGTTAATGGTGAAACCTCTATTTAATCGGACACTCTAATGCTCCAGAGTTGTGATACTAATACTTAGAAACTCCTAAAATCGTGCTTCAAGGTTACGGGAAAATTTGAGAAAAAACCAAAAAGAAGACGTGTGGAAAATGAAGAAAGCTCAAGACTATTTACAGGGTGAAGTCTATGACTCGCCACGTCGTGGCCATGAGCATGCCACGTTGTGGTTTTTGGATTAGTCTGGATCTGCCACGTGTCGCATTCTCCTTGTGTCACGTGTTAAGTCAACTAAGAGTTGTCCTCGTGACTTGCCACATTGTGGCTATAAACTTGCCATGTCATGGTGAGTTGGTTCCTATTCGGTTAAGAGCATCCGCGGCTTTCCACATGGCGCGCTCTCAGGCTACCACGTCATCATCTTACCAAGTATTTTCCAAATCTTCGAAAAATTACATCTTTCGCATACGAGCTACATTTTTGGCATTCTTTATATACACACATAGTTATATCTGAGTACTACGACTTTCCTTTAGATCCCAATAGCTAATTTTCACTCTATCTTAAATTCATATTTTTATAGAGATTACACTATTTAAATCTGTGCGGAAATCATAAATCCTTCCTACAAACTCCATTCTCGATTGTCTTTATATCAATGGATTCGTGTTTACGAGACCTTCAATTCCCGTTTACATCGTTTTGGCTAACAATCAATCGATTTTAAATTTCGAATTCTGTGTCGCTCACTGATTTACTGTGTCGTACCGAAACTTTGAAAAATCATCACTTCTTCATACGAAGTCTGATTTTGGCATTCTTTATATGTACGAGTTCATACTCACAATTACTATGACTTCATTTAGATTAGTTATCATAATTAATCTTTATTTTTAATGTTTATTTTAGCCTTATTTAACAAGTTTTTACACAAATATTATATACACATAATATCTATAAACACACACACACATATGTATATATATATATATATATATATATATATATATATATATTTGAATAATTCTATTTCATTTATTCCAAAATATATAAATTGTCGATCGATGTAAATACAGGTTTATAACTATGCCTAGCGAGAAACGCGGACGTTACAGATTCTTTCAGATACGAGTGTTTGTCGGTTTATCTTTCAATTCAGGTGAGTTTTTTCATTATATTATGTATGACATTGTATGTCCAGTGTGATAGGTTGTATGATTATTGTTAGGGTGTGATTGTGTGTTAGGTTGGTCAGTATGGTTGTTAGATAAATGTTGGTACCTATGGGAAGCCGGTTATGTGCCTTCAGGCCCACTAGGAGAATGTAGTACCTAGGGGAAGTTGGTTATTTGTCTTTAGTCCTACTACGAGAACGTTGGGACCTAGGAGAAGTTGGTTATGTGCCTTCAGGCCCGCTAGGAGAATGGATGGAAGTTCTATAAGTCTTAGGAATGATGGCTTTGTGCCTATAGACCATATGAGGTGTAGTCTATGAGCCTTTAATATGCATTGTATATGTAATATTGATATATGGTATTTTTTGGAACTAATTAAGCTTTGTGCTTACAATTATGGATTAAATGTTTTCCAGATTGTGCTTCTGGAAGTGGGAAGGCTCCAGGCTCCAGCTTGACCGTGAGGCATATGCATCTTCTAGCTATCATGTTATTTGGCTTCCATATTTTCTAATGCATTTTTATGGATTATGATGATGATTTTAACCTTTTAGTATTTGGGATTTTATGAAACATGGTTTGGAATGCTTAATTTATATTTTAAAAAATGAAATTTTGGTATGAAATTTGATACTTTATAGTATTTTATAATTGTCTTAGAATTATTTAATCAATCGGGTTCCACCTCATCCTGACCCCAACATGACTATCACCCTCTTCTTATTAATTTCAACCATCCATATGTTTTTTTTGTGGTTGTGGTTTTTGTACCTGTTATACATTAAATTTAAAATAATAATAATAACTATACTCCCATTGTCTATGTTTTTTTATTTTTTTCAAAATTATGTGTATTAGTTTCTTAATTTATTTAATCAATCGGGCCACACCTCACCCTCATCTTCATCACAAATATAATTTGAGTAGAAAAATAAGGACATTAAAAACTCGTGGTGGAATGTACGCTTCCAGACGACAACATAATTAAAACGAATATAATAATTCTTAGAATTTAAAAATAAATGACAAAAAATAAAAATTTTAATTATAATTGAAATGATATATATTGTGTCGATGTATTATAATTGTAAGAAAATATATAAAATACAATCACTGTAAACAAAATCCACACACAAACACACATATAATTGTTGGTAAAAAAAATTCAAACAAAGCAAATAAAAAAATATTTCTTATAGAAAAAGATACAAATATATAAACGTTTTCTTTTATATATATATATATATATATATATATATATATATATATATATATATATAAACTTTCTAAAACACAAATAATTTAAAAATAAGGACATAATAATAATAATAATAATAATTATAATTATAATAATAATAATAATAATAATAATAAGACAAATCTTCAAAAATGGTCCTTATGGTTTCTAAATAAATCAAGTTCGGTCCTTAATTTTTTTTGTCTTCAAGGATGATCCATGTGCTCTGAAAACTTTTAATGGATCGTCCTTATGGCTAACTGTGTCACCTTTTTTTTGTTAACTCTAACCATGTGTGACGCATTTGATGGTAAAATTGTATTTTCATACCATAAGCACCTCCTCCTCTTCACTTACTCGACAACCACCATATCAGACTTCCCCCACTCTGTGTCACCATGTGGTCAGCTTTTTTAGAAAATACGATTTTTCCCATTAAAATCGATGTATAAAGTTCACAGGATCGTGCATGAAAAACTGCTTGTTTTTTATTGTATTTTTTGTTAATTACCGGTATAAGTTTATGCAGGAGATTTTATGATGTCAAATAACAAAAAGTAAGAGTAGTCTGATAACATGTTTGTATTTTTTTAGTTATGTTTGATACAGACACCGAAAGAAACAACTAGAAAAGGACATCAAAAGAAATACCTAGTAAAAGATTCATGGGAATTATATTCCAAAATACAAGAACTTGCAAAAGATTTTGGTCATCCGACTTAGTCGCCAGGGAGGTGTTGATCATATTCTTGTACTCAGTGATGGTCTTTCCCATGTTCTCTTGCATGCTGGAGATGCAGTCCAGCATGTTGGCATCAGCCTTCTTTGCGTCGTGGAGGACTTTTGTGGAGATGATGTAGTTCATGTGGCGTGGAGTGGTGGAGATGTTTTGGATGATTTCCTCATTTGTGTCGTAGTCTTGGATTATTTTGTGTTGCAGCGTTGTCATGGATTCCATCATCAACCAGAGTTGGTGAATGAGGGTGTTGAGCATCATCTCGATATCTTATGATTTCATATTGTTGTAGAGTGTGTATGGGAAGGGGAATGATGTGTTTGTTATATAGTTTTTGGGTTGTGTAATTGTAATGGGGGGTTGGTATGGTGGTGGTGTTGTATCTATTAAGCATTTATTAGACTTATTTGTGATCTTCTATTTTTGCTAAAATTGATTGCAAAAGATTTTTCTTGTTAAGTAATAGTTTTGTAGACGAAAAGGTGGGTGATGATTGCATGCATTCAATTTCTGTAGTGGTTATCAATTAGAGTTTAATGCATTTTGACAAATGACGGTTTGTAGGTGTTGTAGGAAGTTGTAAGGGTAGCTTAGTGGCTGTATTGAGTAAAATTGGTATTGTGAAGTGCAATACATGGAATACATATTTCATTAACCCATAATATCAGAAAGTGACATTAAACAAAAGTCTTGTTAATATAGATGAAGTTATGTTACATGTTTATAAATTGAATTAACATTAATGATTGTTGTGCATATAATTTATGCAAAAAATCGCTAAAGATCTTGTTGCACATGAACAAGGAATCTTGAATGCTAAAGTTGTGTGTCGCCTTGTTTCTTAGGTGAAAATGAAGGAAGTGAGAAAGCCCAAAAGATGCTATCATGCAAACTTGTAACAAGAAATATCATAGAAGATGTGTGAAGTCTTAGGCTCAAGCCAGAAAGATTGACAACTCATTGTCAAATTTCTTTGTCCGGATCAATTTGAAGTTATGGCATCATTTTTAATCTGTAAATGTGGTCAATCGATATAGATAAATCAAGATTCAAGAAGGTTTGTCGAGAATGATGATTGTTGCTTGATCTGGAAAATAAAGAATTGTTGAAGATAATGATGTTTTTGGTATTTTTGTTGATGAAATTGATGATTTGCTAAAGAACATAAAAGATTTTTTTTGGAGATTTGATCTAAAAAAAAGAGGGTTGGAAAAAGATTTTGTTATTTATTGGAAAGGAATTGGCTTTTGATGGTTTAAAAGCTCAGTCAAAAGAATGGTCAAAATTGGAGTTCTATAATGTGAATTGTGGCCATTCGAATTCAAATTGGTTATTAATGCTTGGTTATGATCTTGGTCAAATTTGAATATTTGATGGCTAAAGAAAGAAAGTGAAGAGCCAAAGAATTAGAAGGGATTTTAAAAAGGAAATTAGGGACCAAATGTATAAATTACCACAAACCATAGGGATAATCCATGTAATTTACCCATTAACAATAAAATAACATGTGTGCTTTATCATTGGTTTTAGGGTTTGTTGCCTTAATTATTTATTTTCCATAGAACCTTCTCACATATATATATATATATATATATATATATATATATATATATATATATATATATATATATCTTCCCCTAGTCCATCTTCATCTGTTATTTATTTAGGCGGGAAATCTCTAGAAAAATCCTAAAATTTTACTCTAATTTACGAAAAAAGTCTCAAACTAAATTTTGTTTACGAAAAAGCATGAATTACCGGTAAAAATGGCGATTTGACCCTTTTTTCTGGTTTACCGGTTTTATTACTTGTCTGTTTCACTAAAGTCCCATTATTTTACCCTAATTTGCAAATAAGTCCCAAAATAAAATTTACTGATGATTTGACCTTTTCTCTATGTAACATACATTTTATCGGTTTCATTGTTGACCCGGACGCCTAGTCATTAAATGAGATGATGAGATGGATATGTTGAGTTATATAATGTTATGTTTAGCATAAAACTTGATATCCTAATGTATTGTGTATTTTTTTGGAATATAAAATGCATGCAACGAAGACTACAATAATTACATAAACTACCAACAACTGCTTTATTTTTCACGTTTATAAGAAATATCAAATTGTTTATCTAATCTTATGTAACCCAATATATCAATCTCATCAAACATCAACTCATTTTCTGACCTTTTTTCTTTGAAACACACATTTTATTTGTTTCATTGCTGACGTGGATACATAGTCATAAATGAGCCGATGAGATGGATATCAAACTTTACAGTAAATGTAGCATTATATAATCCATCGTATCCATCTTATCAACTAATTTAATGATTAGGTGGCTAAGTCATCAATGAAACCGATAAAATGTATGTTACATGAAGAAAATGGTCAAATCATCGGTAAATTTTATTTTGGGACTTATTCACAAATTAGGGTAAAATAATGAGACTTTAGTGAAACAGGTAAGTAATAAAACTGGTAAACCGGAAAAAATGGGTCAAATCGCGATTTTTACCGGTAATTTTTTTTTTTCGTAAACAAAATTTAGTTTGGGACTTTTTCGTAAATTAGGGTAAAATTTTAGAACTTTTCTAGAGCATTCAAGTCAAATCCCTAACATTTTGAATTCCACTAATTTCCATTGAAATCCAATAAACTCTCCCAAGTTAAAACAAACTGAAAAATATTTATACAAGGAAAAATAATTATTTTAAGTTAGGAAGAGACCAAAACCACAACCAAACCTTGCCACAGAGACTTTTTTTACAAGTTGAAACTTTTTTGGACCTTAACCATAGAAAATTGCAAACCACAAGGACCACTTTTGCAGTTTTCTTAAATAATATTGAATCCCACAAATTTCAAACTTGAGAGGGTTTGCTGTTCAAGATTGAATTGGAAAGAATACATAACTAGGTATAAAGCATCATCTCAACACAAGCTTTTAACAAACAATCAACTTGGGTTCTTTGCATTAATCAATGGTTGTCAAAACAAAGAAGCCCTAGAAAGTTGAAACCACATACAGAAATGAATTATGTCATTTTAAAAGAATGTTAACATCAAAATCCTTAAACAACAATTATAATATCTGATTATGGGTTTTATTCAATTGAGATTAGGTTGTGATTCATGTATCTAAACCTGCATATCTCCTCAAAAAAATCATCAGCACTGCTATGACCACTTTTCATCCTAAGAATCCTTATCTTCATCTTCTTTAAATTCTTCCCAAACTTCACCAAAGACTCAAGTGTGCTCATTTTCTGCTCAGCATTCAAAGGTGATCTCACAGTGATCACTACCTCTTCAAGACAAGGAATCAAGAAGCTCGAATCCACCTAAAAAAACCAAAAAACATGTTTTTCATGAACAAGATTTCTTGTTTTTGTTTTAGTAAATTAATTGTTGTTTTGAAACTCACATTCTTTAGACTATTCTTCTGGCATAGAGCAGCAAACATTGCACCATGGATGTCGAATGTTTTGAGCTTTGGATGACTTTTGAAAAAGTCAACAAAGTCAATTTCTGGAAAGGGGAGAAGAGCTTCAAAATCTCCAGTGAATTCAACTTTCATGTACAGATGTTTTACTTCACTTGCAAGTTGAAGAATTTTGTTTATTGCATCCCAACACCATTGAACACCTCTAATGCATAACGATTCAAGTGCCATGAGCTTATTACCAAAATCCACCATATAAACCCTCCCTGCAACCAATAAATAACACCCACAAACACAAATTTTGATACTGTCATCAAAAATATGATCTTGAAATTATAAGGTAACAAAAAAAAGGCTTAAAGATGATCTTGAAGTTTGAAATTACCAGCATTGTTTGAAATGGAGAGATTCTTCAAGCAATTGGTGTCACGAACTCTAATCCAGCTACACCCTTGAACTTCAAGATATTCAATCTTTGGAGCTGAAAGTGTAAGTGAGCAGCTACCTGATCCATAAAAATCAAGTTTACAATGCTCAAGTTGAAGAAGCTCAATCCAAACAGTCCTCAAACCCTCACAACCAAGAAGCACAAGATTTGTCAAATTAGGAGTTGCTTTCAAAGCCTCAGTCAAAGCTGAATCCTCCAATTTTGCTCCAACAATTTCAAGATTCTTCATTTTTTGAAACACATCCCATTTTGGAGCACGAACCATTAGCACACCCCAAAGTCTTAAAGACTCCAGATTTTTAGCAAATTGAATGCATTCGAGTTTAGACATACTGTCTGTGTTTTGATCAGCAAGATTATCCAGACGGAGTTCAAGATTCTTTAGGGTGGGTCCCACAAGTGAGAGCCATGAGGTCAGTCCTGTGCTGGTGAATGGGCAGTAAACTACAAGCTCTTCAAGTTGAAAAATTGATGAGACTATCTCTAAGATAATGCAGTCAGGGGTATGACCGTCTTTTAAGTTGTCAAAGATGCTACGAGGGAAGTAAAGGCTTTTAATGTAAGGCATGGAGTCTTTAAACTTTCTGGAGACACAGTTACAAGATGCCACATCTTTAGCATTGTTCATGTTTAGTAAAATGTATTGGACTACAGCTTCTGGTAAGGATTCCATTCTGTGAGGATAATAATCAAAGATGTGAGAGTTTGTTTGAATTCAAACTATATACAAGACTGCAGAAAGATTAGGATTAAATTTGAAATCAGGAATTGGGGGATTAATGGTTAAATACTGCTTAAAATTGTATATCTGTTAAGTTCTTCAAATGTTATTGAAAGACGAAAGTTATGTGGGTGAAAACCAACCAAAACTGAAACGATAATTAGATGTAAGTTTCGAAATAGAACAAAACCCAGAAACGATAATCAAATTGAATATAAACAGATGAAAAAATCAAATTTGAAAAGACAAGCCTGTATATAAATGGAAAATGATTGATTCAGTTCGTTATTTTTCAGTATTGTTGGATCTTTAAATTGAATTTTATTTAGGTTGAAAACAAACTGCTATATAATTTTACAAACTTAACGAAAGTAACAAACCAGAAATGTATAGGAGTATAGAACGACTCTACTGTGAGGATGACATGGATATACACATACATCACATATAATATAATTGCAGATTTATTTCATAATTAAAGTAGAAGTATATCTCAACATCTGTCTGTGGCAATTCAAGTATATGCAAGCATTAATACCCGTTATTGCGTATCTAGTTGACGATTAATCCCAAAATTGACGTTAAAAACAGTTACTTTAACATCAATCTCAAGATTTACATCTTTCTGTCGATCAAGGAGTAATTAT